TGATAAAGTAATAAATGGAAGATATAACAGCGAAGAATGTTCTTACATGTGAAAATTCAAGATATGTATTACCCGGTTCTGTCATAACTCTAGTGATTATGAGATTTCAGCCCTATGAAAGTATTTGTAGCAGTAGTAATAGAAATAAAATTAAGAAATACAGTTCGGTAATGAAATGAATTTTTTACAGCCCACTCATGGTCCACCGAGCGGTAAAGTCGCTGAACACTGGTAGTTCGATCCGGGGCTCGAATCCCGGCAAACGTTCTAGCTACGTGGGTGTTTTCGTGGTGTTCCCTGTGTGTAACGTGTATCCGAGCCAGTTTTCCTTAGAAAGGCATCCCTCCTCTTAGGTATATAACCCTCGAGTGCTTTTTATTGAACTAATCCTTGTAGAGAAATAATTACGATATTCAGAACTGCTAATTATAGCTCTAAAGTAAATGTCTATTAAAGTATCACTTTCAAATACTTAGCAAATTAAGATAAGTTAAATGTGGTCGTAGGCGCCTTTTCTAAGCTCATCTTTTATGAATTTTAGTTCTAGAAATTGATGTTTCACAGTTGCAGAAACACTAAGAGAGCACTTAACTCTTGGAAGCGTATATACGATAATTTTATCTAGCCCCGTGTTCGCAAAGTCTCTGCCAGCGGGTCGCATCAGCCCCCCTGAGCAATTTTACTTGTGTCAGTGCGATTATTATTAAATTTTATTAGTAGTTGTCAAAACAAAAAAATATGCTCAGTTACGAATTTTTACTCTAAGTGCAATGCATTTATATGCGAATATTTTTTTTTTCCTCCCCAAATTGGGATTCACAGGCAAAGAACTCGAATGACCGATGATCATCTACAATCCGTAATGAGGATAATGTCTAATTATTTTCCCTCCAATGCACCGTCACTATACAGCAAATTTGGCATTTACATACAACACTTATTTACTTATAAATCTGTATTATACAAAAAATGTACTTTAATTTATATGTCGAAGAAATATTTAATAAATAAGCGAAAAGCTGTCATTATTTATTCTTAAGTTTTTCCCCCACCTGGAAAGTTTTCTCTAAACACTTAGAAATTGTTCATAATTTGCTTATTTTTAGTTCAAATTAAAACGCTTTATTTAATAATTAATAAAATGTATTAAAATTATTTGAAATAAATATCAAATGAATGAAAAAATTCTGGCCCGTCATCTGTTTACATATCTTGTATTCGGCCAGTATGCAATCTCAGTTTCAGAAACTGACCAAGCGTGTTTCAAGCCCAAAGGGCGTTAGTCCAGAAGGGCTATTAACTTCGTTTTGGCATTTTGCATTAGTTCACAATAAATGGCGTTTCACTTTTCATATTCTTGCCACAAAATATTAGAGTCCCGTATTATATTTAAAGAATTTTAATAAGGAAGGATCTGCATGAATGTGTGCATGTTTCTCGCACTGTAAAAAAACAACGCTACCCAGAGACATCAAATTTTGAATAACGTAGCCCCCCACTCGAATCTGGGCATCTGGAAGCCCAAATTTGGAATTTGAAATTTGTTTTATTATCTATTTCCTATTTTCTAAAACTTTAACGAATTTTTGATTAACAAAGTCAACGATTTCAAAGCGAGCAATGGCAACACTGTACGAAAAAAAATATATCTCTACACGCTAGACTGTGTATCGGAAATACTAAAGATATGCTCTTTTAAAATTATTTTATGATATTGCTATTGAATTTAATTTTATGGTTTAAGTGCGAAGAACATGATATTTAATAAATAAAGGTAACACACAAAAAGTTAAAAAAAAGTCCCTTTGGACGTAAAATAAAATCTGTAGGCTTTCAGAATTTTTCTGTTTTTTATTTTTATTTATGTGTTTAGTAGTTTATTTATAATTAATAAATGTAAATTTTATTTATTTGCTCTCTGATTTCTTCTATTTCATTTTCATTGAAATGACTCATCCCCCCCCCGTTTAGGCAATTTATTAGTAGCAATATTTTTCATTCTGACATTAATTCCCGTAATATTAACGCTAGCTTAAAAGCCATTAGACCCGTGATGGATGCCGTATTATTTCAAAACGGCACACAGCAATAAGTAAGGTATTGAATGGTATGCGTAAGATTATGAATCGTATTATTTGCATAAAATTCAGAACTTTTTCTTAGAATTTCTTTTCAATAAACTTGTGTCTCCTCCCACCTTTAATATTTGGAACATTTTCATCGGAGTTCTGCAGACTTGGTTAGAAAATATTTTTTACGCGGCATTTAATATAACAAAAAATGAATAAGAAATAAAGGAGCAAAAATAATTTCATATATCTTTCAAACGTATAGTGTCAAAACTCATTTTGCTAGCATTTTAGGAATTAGATTTCTAAAGTTTGGCCCATTTCCACCGTTTCTATATTTGAAGTCACAGAAGCTATATTCGGAACCCGGTTATACTAGCTGTGCGTCCTGTGTGTTTCAAGGAATAAATTAGTTGAATTTCTGATGAAGGATTATTTCTAATTTTTATCATTCATTGACTTTGTATTAACATCCATGAACATTCAGGTGAAATGACAATTTTTTATAATGTCATTAAAATCTAATAAGTGTCTTCTTCTGAATTATTTAATTAAAATTTAATCAGTACCTTCTTAAATTATTACCTGAAAGAACAAGTTCATTGAATTTGGAAGGACTTCAAACTGATAAAAGTTGAATTTATCCGAAGTTAGTTTGTTCCTGAAAATGAAGACAAGGGGCCTCAAAAATTCAGTTTTAACTTTATTATAAAATTAAAGACCTATTTCCATGCCCAACAGGACATCCGTATGGAAAATAATTGTGATGATAATTTTGCAAGAAGGTGTGATGGTGTCCAGGTTATTCCTTGCTCGCATACTTTAATTTCTGACGTTGAATACTGATTAATACCGATATCTGATGGCAGGCATATGTGAATTGAGTAACGCTTTCTCAACCAGCAGAAACACTTATTTATATCGCATTCTAAAAAGTGATTTCGAGAAAGGAAAGTTTTTATACTTTTTACGTTATATTATTGACATTTGAGTCTTATATAGATTTGCAGGATTTCTTTGTATTTTCGATTTATTTTGCAACGTGTGTAATAGTTTAAGTAATTATTTGATGTTTGAATTTATGGGATATAGAGATCTGTTGAAAGCACCAATGAGCAACGCAACCTAGCTCCTGCATTTACCAACACCAATGCAATAAAGGAAAATTTTGGCACAAAAGCAAAGTGTTCCTTTTTCCCTTTTTCAATTTTTTCTTTTTTCTGTTGAGTTGACGGACGGTCAAAGGCAGTTCTTATTTTTTAGCTTGGTAATACTCATGCAAATGAGAGAAGAAATAAGTTTTACGGACAGTTAATGAGTAACTGTTCATTAATTTCCTTTAAATTCTGTGAATTCAGCCGATTAAAAAAGTCCTGTACTTTTTGACACTATTTCTTTAATTCGAGAAAACAGAATAAAAACAACTAGTTTCATTTGACAAACAGTTTTATATCGTAATTTTCTTTTCAAGGAATATCAGGTACATTATATAAGTTGCTTCACAGGGATGAGAGTAAGTTACTAATAATCGATGCTATGAAGCGCTCCCTGCTTTGGGAGGAACTTTTAGGAGGAAGGTTTTCGTAGGAGATTTGTTAAAGGGAACTGTCTCGGGTTCACGCTAAACATAAGAACAACTAATTCAGAAGTCAAACAACAAAAATCAGCGTTATACCTACAAAATTTTCACAGGACTAGTTTCGATGGTTTTACCGAACCATCATCTTCAGCTGCAAAACCGCAATCGGTAAACCATCGAAACTAGTCCTGTGAAAATTTTGTAGGTATAACGCTGATTTTTGTGTTTGACTTCTGAATTAGTATTTATTCGGCGTGTTATTGTGTCTTAATTATAAGAACAACTAACAGCCCCTTTACCAGAAACCATAAACACACATTTAACGATTGTATAAATGGTTTTCTTTTAAACATTGCTTCAGAGAAAAAAATAAAATGTATCTGGGTTTGTTACGTTTCTGTTGTAAAATATACGTCAAAAAAGAAATAACAGTTATTTTATTTAAATGTAATTCACTTAAACACACTTTTCTCTGCATTTAGACTATATAATCTGCGATATTTTGCAATTTATTGAACCTATATAACACAACGTAGCCCTGAATTTTAAATATACCTGATGAAATTAATCGTATAATTTGATAGCACTTACAGTTATTTAACTATTAAAATTTACATATAGTATATTATATTTGCATATAGTTTGATAATCTCATGAATTTAAAAAAAAAAAAAAAGAAAGAAAAGAAAAAATATAAGAGCTGCAACCTAATTCTGAAAACCAATTAAATTGTTACAGGAAAGAAATCCATACACTTAAAATTAAAGACGATAATCTCAAACAGAACAAGATTGTTTATTAAAGGGGGTGCATTCTTTCTATGCTATTTCTTTGTTTGAAACTAACGAAAACTAAACAGTATTCCAATATTCAGTTTCTCATGTGAGTATTTTCAAAAATAAATCTTGGGTTGGCTCATATTATTTTTACATTGGAGAAGAGGCACTTTTTAGGGGGGGGGAATCATGATTTTTTAGATGCAGGAAGAAAATATCTTAAAACCCGAAAGTTTTATTTAAAACACTTTTATGTAGCATATATTATGCGAAATGAATTTTCTCCCAGAAAACGTTTAGTTGCATTAAAAATTGTTTGAATATAATACTTAGGAAACATAACTGAGTATTTGTTAAAGTAGATTAAACTGTGAAGCCCTAGGTAATGAAGAGATTGCCAGCAAATTACCCACAGTTTGTCATTAAGCAGTGGCTGGTAGATTTAGTTAGAGACACCTACAAGCCGCATGTTTCCCTTAAACACAGTCCTTTGCCGATGATTGATGAGTAGACTGCTCGATCCCTAATAATAGCGCTAATGGATATCAGCCGCAGAAACAGAGTAAATGAGCTTACCTTGATGCTGTTTCCTTGAGGTTTTCTTTTCTTTCATCCAGGGATACTCTGCTACAGAAGAGTTGAGTGCGGATCCGGGCCCGGGATGCTGCTTGCTCGGTGGGCTTGGGGAAGCGTTTACAGAACCATGCAGTGTGCTTGGAGGCTGGGGGGAGACTTCCAGTTGACAAAGGGAAGGCGGAGGCTGCACTGAAGGCTGCAAAGCGTTGATGGATGATACTCGGTGAAATGTTTCATTGATATGAGGCAGGGCAGTCATAAATTCAGCCATAGATGGCTGGCTGTTGATAAAACCGCTCTCGCACGTTACTTCCATAGTTGCTGCTTCACAGAGGTAAACACGTCACCGACTTACTCTCCTCAAAAGACTAGGTGGGGAAATAAACATGACAATGTGTTTCAAATGAAGACATCAATGTACCCTGTCCCAAGAGTTTTGTAGTGGAACATAGTAAGACTAGGAGACCATTTCAGTCATTCGTCTTGGACTGTGCAGCCCCAAGAGCTGAGTAAAGAAAGAAATGTTTATGTAGGCGAAGATTTACATTCATTTGACATCAAAGTTACTACAAAGTAACACGTGTTCAGAAAGAACAGGTGACACTGTTCGCAAAATTTTTTTTTTTTTTTTCTTTTCTTTCCTTGTCTTAATTTCCTTTATTACTCTTTAGGGAAAGCTGATTTTAATAGAATGCAGCAAGTAATGTTATTCTTGTTTCAGTCTTTTATTTGCAATGTGTGTGTACTTCAGAAACTTAATATAGCAAAATAAACTATCAACTGACTAGTACATTTAATAGGAACAATAATCAGTTCTGACATAAAAGTCATTAAACTATTGACTGACTTGAAGTTTCTTTTTCAGAAGTTTTTGATCACTGAAGTGTATCTTATGCCGTGAATCATTGCTGGGCACTTATAATTTCAGTCATCAAATTTTTATTTAAAATGCAGTTAATGTCTTTCGGTTTAATTTTCTTTGCTAATGCAATGCAAACACTTTTTTCTTATAAGCAGCTTCATACTATCTGAACTTAAAGAAAGAAAAAAATCACTTTGAAAGATTGCAATGTTCTTTCACAGCTATCATATCATTGTAACATTTAAATATTCTTTTATAAAAATTGAGTTCACCATTGATTTACTAATGAAAACCGAAAACATTTTGAGAGCGTAACTAGAAAAATTACTCAAACAAGTAACAATGAAAACAAAAACATAAAAATTACAGCCCCCCAGAATAGTGACGTCTTACGTCTTAGTTCTTAAAATAAATTTTCATTGATTTCTTTTATACATTTTTTGATTTTCCATCACTTTGTTAAACATATCTTTCAACCGTAAGACATTTGAATCAAATTATTTAACAGTTCAGTGCTCTGTTATTAAAAGAATCAATCACATATGAATACCACTATTTACGATTTACTAGTAACATTTTATGTCGACAATTTTGTTTGAGGCTTTGTCACTAGAGAAAGTTTCCCCCAAATCAGACTTTTATTTAAATGACACTACCTGTTGAAACAATAGTAGTGTGAAAGAAGGAAAAAAGACTAAACTACTAAAGTTATAATCAGGTTTAACTTTAGGTAAAACCACCGGCGTCTGATCTAATTTTACGCCGAAAGCCTTGATGGGAATCGCGGGGAGAAAGAAGCAGACTCACCGTCGAAGTTCTCCGAGCTTTCAATTGCTTGTTCCATTGTGGGCTTACAACTGTTACATTCTGTCAAGTAAGAGAAAACCCAGAAAAATATTATTAATCAACCACTAAGCCTTACGGATTTAAAAGAAAAAAACTTTGCTGATCTTCCATGAGTTTTTCAAAGGTTTATTAATACGGTCATAGCGCAACGAGAGATAGCACGGACTCCATCGTCTGCGTTTCTGGATTGATAAAACGAACTTGGACGATTTCAGTTTCCGAGATCACGTGATGGGGACTGCTCCTAGCCAATGATAGGGCGCGCTCAAGCTGTGAATAGAACTGAAGCTGCTCGGGCCGCGCGGGAACAGGGCGGCCATGCGCGCCGCCCCAGGGTTGCCGACAGTCATCCCAGATCTAGCCATTTATCGCTAGATATGCAAGTGGAAAAAAATGTCACGTTTCGCGCCAAACTTTTCTAAAGGGATCGAGAGCTGCAGAGTGCCAAACACAAGTGTAAAAAAGAAAAGCAGAGCCACATGGCAGGAGCTTTAACTTTCACTTCCCGTTGCTTACTCTACTGAAATCGGTTTTAAGTTTCAAAATGAAATGTTATCCGCGATTTGCTCGACAGTGGAATGCAAATCTATTACACAGTACAATATATGCTACCAGTTCTAATTTATTATAAGTTTCAGATTTCGTGCGCGCTTCAAAACCTTTTGCAGAACATTTAGAGGAATGAATCTTAAACTTTTTAAGTATAATTAATTAGGTTGTACTACAAAAACTGCAACTACAAGCTACGTATTATATACACTACACGCGCTTCGTACTACATTCACTATTTCGTACTTCAGTACCAGACGCATTATGCACTATATGTACTGTGCGTACTATATGACTGAGTACAGAAGGACTGCAAAGCTAAACGATAAATAAATCTTTTTTGAATAGCATTTCTATTTATTAAAAATTAAAATTTCAACTATTCTGGTGTTAATTTCAGGCTGAAACGAAATCAGGTGCTATTAAAAGGGTAGCAGTTTCTTCTATCAAAAGCAAAAGAATTATGCTTCTTCTGAATGAGGATCCAAGTTCTTCCTTAAGCCACTTATAAATAATATACTTAATACGGATTTCGCATGCTAAGTGAAGAAGCCTGTACATCATAAGAAAGGTTCTAATAAATAACAGAAAATAAGAATTATGATCATCTAATTACTAACATCTGAAATCAAAATTTTGATCAGTTTTCCATTAATTAAGATTAATTATCGTAAAGCTTCAAAAATGCGCTCCTAATTTTTTTACATTTATTAATTTATAAGTAATTACTTCTTAAAAACATAAAAGAAAGAGAATATCAGGAACTTTGGCATCGTGTTTTACTAAAACATTTTCTATTTAAGTATGTAAGCTTAGTATTTTTTTAATATTCACTGATTTATCCATACTTAAGTATGTAAACATCATAATAAACTAATGGATAATATTTATCTTCACCGAACATATAGCCAACGCTCATCAACAGATAACAGCGGATGTTGTAAAATGTATAATATTCGGGCGACAAGCATATATATTTATGGTCAAGTGTAACTGATAAAATGCATGTCTTTAGGACATTAGTAGCATTAATTATAGTAGTAATAAGGCATACTCTATACAATACTACATTACATGCTATACTACTAAACAAGACTATGCAAAATATATCGGGCATGAGAGTATGTTCTCTCTCTTTTTCTGTGGGTATGAAAATAAAAGAATTTGACATTTTAATCTAGTTCACAAAAAGACAAGTAGCAAACCAGAAATGCATTATATTCATTGTACAGTATAATGCACTGTTTCAAGGGGGGGGGCAGAGATAAAAAATCAATCTTTTTTTCTGAGAAAACAATGAAGCATTTAACATAGTTAGTTAAAAGTGACACAAAGGGAATGCTAAAAGTATAATGGAGGCAAAAGTATAATGGAAAACCAGAGGCTAGTCAAATTCTTCCTGAATACTGATAATCGTGATCTCCTCCTTATACATTCATAATCATCAAAATTATTATCACGCGTATTAGCAAAGAAAAGTGCAAATGTAAAGAAACTCAGAACACTCAGCTCCCACAATGACCATTTTCATCCTCCATATTTGGTTATTCCGAAATAAGTATGTAGGTCATGATAAGTGTGAAAAGATGTCAGTACCGAATGCGTTTATGCTGCTGCATTCCAGTATATTATCACCCATTGTCAAAAAGATGGGTATTTCGCAACTTTATTTTGAATTGATTTGTTTATTATTAGCCCAAAGGATGTTAGCCCAGAAGGGCTATTAATTTCGTTTTGCGTTGCATTTGGCGTTGGTTCCCGATAAATGTCGGCTCACTTTTCAAACTGTTGCCACCAAATATTAGAGCCCTGTATTGTATTTAAAGAAATTAAGTAATGAAGAATCTGCATAAACGTATATATGTTTCTCGCATTGTGATAAAACAACGGTACCTAACGCCATCAAATTGTGAATAACGTAATCCTCCTGTGAATATGGGCATCTGGAAGCCTCAATGTGAAATTTGGAATTTATTTCATTATCGATATCATATCTTGTAAAACATTAACGAAGTTTTATTAACAAACTCAAGAATTTTAAAGCGAGCAATGGCAACGTTGTACAGAAAGAACATTTTTATCTCCAGCGCACGAGACTGTGTATCTGAAATTCTAAAGATAGGCTCATTTTAAAATTATTTTGCGATATTGCTGTTGAACTGAATTTCATGGTGTAAGTGCGGAAAATATTCTATTTAATAAATAAAGGTAACACACAAAACGTTAAAAAAAAAACACTCCTTTGGGTGTACTGTAAAATCTGAAAGCTTTGAGATTTTTTTTTTTTTTTTTTGGTCATTATATTTTTTTCTTCTTACTTTCTTTTTTGTATTTTTGTAGACTGCGGCTAACCGAAGCCATGGTCAATCAGATAGACGTTTGAAGAACTTACAATAAACCATATTGCTGTATAATGAATTATTTTTTGTTGAAAACTCTATTGTGTTATTTAATGATTGAGTGTGGCCCAAGAATTTACAAATGCCTATGTGTCCTTCACAAAACGATCTATAGAATGAATATTCATGTTAAACCGAAAAAGTGGAAATTCAAATTTCGAAAAAATTCTGGTTTTGAAATTTTTTTGATTTGTTTGCATGTTTAGTCGAGTAAGGCAAAACATACGACAGCTATTTTCCTATAAAGAAAGGTATCTGAAACTCAACTCTCTTAGGTAATAACTTATGTTACCTTGCACTGAAAGTGATGCATAAGTCTGCCTTTAAGTTTTTAAGTTGTTAATAAGTACTAAAGATCATCCAAACTTCATTAAAGATTCTTCTTCTATATAAAAATAATACTCGGGAAAAACTGCATTACGAGCTATGGATTTTCGCCATCAATGTGCGTATCTCTCGAACCTTCAGAAAAATTCAGGTTTGCACTTGGTACACATATATATAACGCTATTCTTGTATTGTGTTATTCTGTTTGTCTTCAGTGTTTATTTTTCTTTCTTTAAAACTTCATCTGTCTGTGCAAATTACTGTTTAGCATCATGTAGCCATCTGTAGATATCAGACAGACAACGTCTTTCTTTAAAAGGAACCCAGTGTTTGTATTTCGTATCAATTACTAATATGCAAGGTAGAAACTATTGTACTCTTGTGTATATAGGAAAAGTCCTTCGTGTAAGGAACTGACGATCTGTGTCTGTTAATATGAAAATTATATCGATCTTTACTTTACTTTCAATATAATAGTAGCACCGAAACAATATGTTATGACCTTTTCTTTAAAATAATAGAGACAGTCAGATAGATATGAAAGCTATATTAAACTTTAATTTACTTTTATCTTTTGAATTTGCAAAGAATTTAATTAGTTCTTTGACTACAAGAATATTTTGATTGAAAAAAAAACGGAAAATATATAGTTTCATCCATGTTATACCAAAACTGATCTCTAAAACTATTAATGCTTTTGGAAAGCTTTAATTTTGATATATTGTATTTCAAAACATTTTGACGTAAACATGACATTTTGACTAGAAATGTTGTAGTTTTAGAAGTAATTTTATATGCTATATTGTTAGAAATAATTTTTATGAGATTAATAAAATACTCTAAATATATTTTGGAAAATTAACAGACTGATGGTTTAAATGATTACATGAAATACGAAATAGAAGCACATACTGGCATAAAGTCTTAAAATTTTAATTATGTTAAAAAGAAAATGCAAGTTTAAATACAAAAAGGAAGTAAATTTGTAATGCGTCTTGCAAAATATTTAAGCATGCCGAAATCTGTGATTTCTGAGATAAATACAAGCTATTTGAAAATGTGTTTAAAGAGACTATATTTGAAATTTATTATAAAATAACTACATTATATGATATCAGACCAAGATGAAGCAATAAATGACTGTTGCTTTTTGCAGAAAAATTATATGTTGTAATTAAAAAAATATTTTTCGGTGTGATATTTCAAGAAAGTACTGAAATAAAAGTCACATTAAAAAGTAAATTATTCTTACAATAGCGAGTAAAGCGAAGATAATAAATAACTGAACAATTTGAATCAACTGTAAACTTAAATGTGAAAGAAACAAAGCCGCAATTTTTTTTCCTTCAGATCTTCTCTAAAGCTTAAATCAGATAACAAGTCCTTAGTTAAGAGCGCAGTATGCTTAATGAAAGCGATGAGTAGCAATGTTTTTAAGGCCTATAGCAAATTAAAAATCCTCAAGCATACACGCCGAAAATGCAAAAAAAAAAAAAAAAAAAAAAAAAAAAAAAAAAAAAAAAAATTACTCGCCTGACCATCTCTACTATATTTCTGTCAGTTTCTGTGTCTCAACAACATCTTTACAGCATCAAAATTACTATTTTTTAAATCTTAAATACAAGACATAAGAACACGAAAAAGTATACCTGGAATTTTCAGCTATATTTCAGCAAAATACTTATTACAAGTATTCTTCTTACCTTACCACCAACCTCTCGAACTTTAGGACTTTCGGCTCGCCGCATATTTAGAGTACGCCCATGCCGCATGGACAGTGTACATTTACAAACATCCATGCCTTCCCCCGGACTCGAACCTGGGCCCCTTCGGTATGACAGTCAGAGTTGCAAACCTCTATCCTGGTTGGGCGGTTCATGCAACTTTTCTTTCTTATTGCATTCATAAAATGGATACTTTCAGTTTTCTGTACGTGGTTATTTGGTTCACATCGGGCTTGTATA